AAGTAATAAAGTTAGTTACCTCCATGCTCTATATAAAAGGGGATTATTGAAAATAATTGTAATTATTTACTACGTAAGGGGAAAGGATCACAAGGAGTAAGAGAAAATATTAAATAACCCCGTCACAGCAAACCTGTAGACTAAGCGAATTTTCATTTGCCCGATTTTCAATTAAACCTAAAATAGCATTGAGTTTAAAGAATACTTAGGTTTGCTGCTACAAGGAGGCTAATAAAATGTGTTTATGGTAAAATATTAATAGCCTAGTATAAAACAAATAAATTTAACAAGTTTTATTAAGACATATCTATAAACAAACAAACAAAATCATTTTACACTATTCTCCTTAAGAATAACATGGAATTTTAAATTTACAATTTTTGAATTTTATTCGTAACTAATAAACTTACAAAACTCGTTAATATACTATACTATTTGTTTTCTTTAAGCTCTTTAAAATGCTCTAGAGAAAAATTGGGAATTTTTGTGTTTTGAGGGTCAAAGATTACAAATATTTACCACATAAAACCCTTTTCCATGGACCGATTATACCGGTTTTCTTAAAATTTAACCAAAATTACTCGAGTATTCATGTTAACGGACACTTATATAACATGGATATATTATATTATGTATAGATGTATATAAACAAATATATAATATTTTGAGTGGATGGTGTTTTAGGCTTCTGGGGGCATCGAAATGATAACGTAAATCGGTTTCGGGTCTATGTTTTACCATAAGACCTTCGGTAATAGATTAATAACATAGGTTACTAAGCAAAAATTTCAACTTTTAAGGTGGTGTGAATAATCTTTCGACGCGTTTTTTATGCAAATCTATTAAGACCAATTTCAAATTGACATGTATTTTTCTTAGGTAGTTATTTAAGTTATTCTTCTTTTACATATATTAAAAATGAAAACAATTGTATTTGTATAAAACCATACATTACATATTAAAATGAAGTACTTAAACTAAAGCTATTTTCTACAATTTCTGTAGTATCTCTCTTTACAATTTCATCATCACAATAATTATTCTCAGACGACTCATTAACAATTTTATTATTCTTAGCAACTTGTCCATCTTTACTGATTTTGTCCAAATTGGTGTTAAAGCAGGATTCCCCTTTACAAACCTAAAACCTTGCAAATTGCAGAACAGGCAACACCAATAAAGCACGAACAATGTGGTGCAAGAACACCTTTCATACATACTGACGTTTGCAACTTGTATCTTAAGTTCCTCAAACTTATTTTCAATCAATACAAGTGCGGTTATCTTTCGTGGTTATGACGACCAGGACAGCACTAAGACATCAGAGCAGCATTGTCGGTACAAGCATTTTTGTCCTGGACAATTGGAACGAGGTTTATGGGGTAAAAATTGGGTTTTCAAAACACAAAGTTTTCCAATTTTTCTCTAGAACATTTTAAATAGCTTAAAAACAAATAATTTAGTATTTAAACGTGTTTTTGTATGGTTATTAGTTACGGATAAAAATATGTACTAAAATTGTAAATTTAAAATTACCATGTTATTCTTATGTAGAATAGTGTAAAATGATTTTGTTTGTTTGTTAATAGATATATTTTGATCAAACTTGTCAAATTTATTTGTTTTATACTAGGCTATTAATATTTTACTATAAACACACTTTATTAGGCTCCTTGTAGCAGCAAACCTAGGTAATGGTTAAACGCAATACTATTTTAGATTTAATTGAAAATCAAGTAAGTAAAACGGAAATTTGCTAGGTCTGCAGGTTTGCTGTGACGGGGGTATTTAATATTTTCTCTTACTCCTTGTGATCCTTTCCCCTTACGTAGTAAAGAATTACAATTATTTTCAATAATCCCCTTTTATATAGAGCATGGAGGTACTTTATTACTTTATGAATAAATGTTTAAATATCGTAAAAAGTAATAATATTTCGAAACACCCTGTATGGTGTGGTTTAATTCACTTAAAACTACTCCCAATCGATTTAAAATAACTAAAACCATCGAAAACCACACCTCACTCGACCTTAAACGTAAAAACAAAATTATTCAGGAACAAGGGCCCTTCGGAACAAAAAGGGCCCCAAAAAGGGCCTTAGGACGCCCAAGATTTTGGGGACTCATCGGGTCTTCATTTCTCATATTATTAGTAACTCACAGGTGAAATTTCATGAATGTACAAATTTTGTTGTTTATAAAACCCTATTTTACCTGTACTATAAGTATACACTACCAGTAATTGTCGACCTATTTTCACTTGGTTATGACTGATGTATTTTTTTCGGCCACCATCTTGGATCCGCCATTTTGAAATGTGATAAATTATTTAAAATATAAAGGGGGTGTTGTGACCCATCATTTTGAACAACTTTTTTAAGCTAAACTCAATGCCGCAATCCATTTTTTGTTATCAAGTTTTATTTATGAAATATTGAATTTTCTTTGTTAAAAAAGTCAATATTTCAAAATCAAAAAATTAAAATGAAAAACGGATCATGGAATTAAGTTCAGCTTAATAAAGTAGTTCGAAATGATGGGTCACAACACCCTTTTCATATTTAAAATAATTTATCACATTTCAAAATGGCGGATCCAAGATGGCGGCCGAAAAAAATACATCAGTCATAACCAAGTGAAAATAGGTCGACAATTACTGGTAGTGTATACTTATCTTTATCTAGCACTATTTTGAGATTATGGTCTTAGTTTGTAAATGCACAATGTTAAAATGGGCTAAAAATAAAGTTTTAAAAAGCCCTCATAACTTTAGAATGAATCAAGATTTTTTAAAACGGTTTGCGGCATTGTAATCAGGGTAAAAATGTAGTTCGAAATAATGGGTCACAACCCTACCTTTACATTTGAAAAAAACAATTTGCATCCAATATGGCAGATCCAAGATGGCGGCCGGAAATGACCACCTTGTCAAAATGAAGTACTTATTACCCAACAATATTTGGAAGTGGTCTGGGATTGATATTTGAAAAAATGTAGAAAAAAGCTAGGGGGGGGGGACAATTAAAACTCACCCTGTATATATATATCACAGGCAAAAAAATCAAAACCTAAATATATAAGGGTTGTTTTATTTTTTATTTGTATTATTTTAACTGAAACGTGCATTTTAACATTAATACATACACAATAGGGTTTCATTGGAGTGCTGTTAACACCAGACATTATGCTACTAGGTAGCGTTCGCAGAGGCATCCACAAAGTTGAGCTACATCAGTGTTCATATTATATTGTTATTGACCTTCATCGAGTTTCATAATTATTATTAGGGTAATTAGATTGACAGAAGGGACCCCCCCCCCCTAAACATTGTTTTGTAGTAAAGGGGAGTAAAAAACACAGAGATATAATTTCAGACCTTTCCAGATACCTGCATTTAGCCTACATCTTAAGTTTAAAACTCTAATTTGACTTGGATTTTGATGAATGTGAACATATTAAAATAAAATATTTTTTTTACACAAGTTATATTCAGCGTTTAATCCTATCCAATGTGTTACACCTTAATAACATTTATAATCAATCGGAAGTTGACCGAAGACAAAGTTTAAGCCGCTGAATTTTGACTAAAATTGTTGTGCTTTCTAGTGGTCCTTGTTGATCTTGACAACATCGAAATATTTGCTACTTTGCTGCATTTCAAAGACATCATAAAATCCACAATTATACAAGGGAACCGCAGTATGGATGATATGTAAAAATTGTTAACGCGTATGGTTTTCATTCAAACTAAGGTGAGTACGTGAGTAGGTGGCTCAGTTGGTAGCGTCACAGACTTCGGGCCCAAGGCAGTGATGTTGTGGGTTCGGATCCTGATCACTGCCACAACATTTTATCAGTATAGTTCACCTTCGTACTGTACCGGCTCACCACTTGCTTTGCTGGATACGTTCCACGCACAGATCTGTAGTCTATGTGGATGGGCAAATGCAAGGTTAAAAGTGGCCTATAAAAACAAACTCTTAAAAAACTCGTAACTTTTTTATGAAAGCCAATATTAAAAATTCACTTTTTTTCTCAAGTAAACCTATCGCATTAATAGTCAATGATGGAACACAATATCAACTAAGACACTATTATTTAAAAATCTCATTGTATTACCCTGTAAACACGTTTCCCCGTGCGGTTTCGGGGTTAGAATAGGACCGTCGTAAGAGGCGACTAAAAGGGTGACTGACGTCCTCACTAGGAGTCCCTGGGAGTGCCCCTGTTGTGTTGCAGGGCTTGATGTGTGCTCTGCACTGCCGATGGGTATTCTCAGTGGGTCGTGAGGAGCCAGCCACTTCGGTCCTTGGTCAGGAAGTGCGTCATGGATGCAGAGGTCGGGCTCTGCATTGCAACAGGCGACCCCCGGCACGTCAGGTATCCGGTGCTGGGCAAAAGGAGGTCGGGCCCTGGAAAACTGGGGTAGGGGACTGTCCCCGAGGGTATACCCGCTCCTGACTGAATCTGGGCCGTCTCTTGCCGCACGATGCGCTGGTAAACACATGAATGGCTTGTCAAAACCCCCCACCCAACACATTATTTAATAGCAGCTCGAATGAGCAAAAAACGAAAACGGAAAAGGGTCTGAACCCTTTTGGGCGTAGCTCCAAGGTCAAGAGGTCGCCACCAGCGAACAACGTTAAGGCAACTCCACCGTCTGCAACCTTTAAGGGCTCAAAGGAGTTCCCCCCACTTGGATCTGCTTTGACAAGTGGAGAAGGAAAAGTAGACGTTGATCTGGCGTTGACCGGAACCCTCCTGGAAAGTACAGCGCCAAAAAATAGCCCCCAGAGGTCGGATCCCGAGCGTCAGCGTTACCGTCAACAATACGACGTTGCTGATGAGGAGGAGTCTGACCTCCTGGTAGAGATAATGGACCTCATCAATAATATGGAGGGAACCTTGAAGGTCCAGACCAACGAAAACTAGCCAATCAAGGACGGTCTCCCAAAGGTGAAGGACCGGGTTGCCCAAGTTCTTGAAATTAAAGGCTTGATGAGACAGACTTTAGTTAATGAACTGGTGCTTGTGAACCAAGTTTTGGCCCCCAAACTGAACGACAAGAGCGGGAACCGAAGGAAACGGGCAAGGAGCTCACCAGCGGATAGCCTCGATCTTCCTGAATTGGCCAACCAGCCTCTGTCAGATGCCGAGCAGAAGGTCGAGGACAGGGCCACCCTGATGACACCCCCTACTGAGCACACTCCAGCTCTAAAGAGCTCCTCAGCAAACCAGGGAGCTTGCCTCGGGTTTGGTCACTCTTCCCGAAACTGTAAGGGACCCGACCGAGCCAAGAATTGTTTCAGGTGCGGCGGCTTGGGCCACAACAGGAAGAACTGGACCGCAGCAGAGCGCTGTTTTCTCTGCGCAGAGAAAAGCCAAAAGGACGCCTCATTAGGCCATATCCCAGGGGCTGAGCGATGCAGTGTTTTCAAGGTTGCACTCAACCTTGAGAAGGCTAGGTCTTGGAAGTGAGGATTCTCCAGCGTAACCTTGAGAGGTCCAGGACAGCTGACTCCCTTTTAGATCAGCTGGCCCAAGAGATCGGCGTGGACACCCTTCTGATCAGCGATCAGTACCGTGACAGGGACCCACATTTCTGGTTCCCAGATTCTCTCGGTACTGCCGCTTGTTGGGTTCGAAACAGCACCGAAGCACCAGTGCAAGATCACGGACGCGGCCGTAGCTTCGTTTGGGTCAGGTGTAGGGACGTCACGTTGTTTAGTGTCTACCTTACCCCAGACGAGCCGAATTGGGAATTCCGTCTGAAAATTGACCGCTTAGAGGACAGTGTGCGCGGTACCGTTGGGCATGTCGTTGTTGCTGGTGATTTTAATGCGAGGGCTGTGGAGTGGGGTATGATCTCTACAAACTCCCGGGGGAAATACATGCTGGACTTTGCCGCCAGGGCCGGACTTGTCGTCTTAAACGAGGGAGACACGCCTACCTTGCGGCACCCCGGCATGAGATGAGCAACGATCCACGATATCTCCTTCTCGTCGGAATCACTACTAGCGCGGATCTCCAACTGGAGAGTCAAGCGAAGACCTCACGGCAAGTGATCATCAGTACATTGTTTTTTAAATACTGGATGAACACCATAATCAAGCGCCCGGATCACGATCTGGACCACGCCGATGGAATACGGACAAGCTGGATGTTGAGAAGTTCACTGATGTAATCTCACGGGGAGCGCTGGTGAGTGCTATTGCACTTGATGACGTCAAGACATTGGTAACGTCCACGATGGAACTGATTGTCTAGGCTTGTGACCAGGCCATGCCACGCAGGGGATGACGCCGTCACGATAAGCAAGGTGGACCTTAGAGCTCTGGAACCTTCGGAAAGCTTGTCTGAAAGCCAGACGTGCCGCTATGAGGGCCAGAAGATTCCCGGATTTTGAGGCTAAGTCAGCGGCTTGTAGGGCTGCGAGGAAAGCTCTCCGTCGGGCTATCATCAAGAGCAAGGTTAGCTGTTGGAGGAGGCTCTGATCCTTGGGGACTCCTAAAAAATAGAAAAGCACCTGGTCCTGATGGAATGTATTCCCAGTGAGGCTCTCAAGAAGGTATTCTCAGTTAACCCCCTCTTACTGCTGAGAATGTACAACACATGCCTGTGTGAAGGGGTTTTCCCAACTCCTTGGAAAAGGGCTAATCACGCGCTTGTGCTAATCAGCAAGAGGAAAGGTCACCCGGATATGCCGTGGTCTCACAGACCTCTCTGTATGTTGGATACGGCCGGAAAACCTTTTGAGAAACTGATTCGCTGCCGACTAACGTCTGCCGTGGGAGCTGCCGGAGATTTGTCTCTCCGTCAGTACGGCTTCAGAAAGGGTCGGTCAACAATCGACGCGATATCCGAGGTACACAGAGTGGTAGAGCGTGCCGAGGGCTTCAATCATTTCTCTCGCCGTATCGTGCTTCTTGTTATGCTAGATTTCAAGAATGCTTTTAACTCAGCAAGATGGGTCGATATGTTGAGCACGTTGAGGAACAGCTTCCGCGTACCAGCATATCTGTTGAGGCCGATCGAGGACTACCTGCGCTGCAGAACTCTTAACTACGAAACTAAAGATGGTCTGCGGACGATGGATGTTACTTCCGGTACCGCGCAAGGTTCGATACTCGGCCCAGATTTGTGGAACGCTGCCTACGACAGCCTTCTGAGATCTGAGATACCAGAGGAGACCGTTTTAGTTGGGTACGCCGATGACATTGCAGCCCTCATTGCTGCACGCAACGTTGAGCTAGCCCATCTGAAACTGAACCAAGTCATGCGCGTTGTAAATGCCTGGATGACTAATCATGGTCTGACACTCGCTCTGAGCAAGTTAGAGATCGTCATCCTCACGAAAAAAGGGATTGAAACCATCGTTCCGCTATGAGTTTGGAACGTAGTTGTCCAAACCACGGAAACCGCCAAGTACCTCGGTGTCATGGTGGACAACAAGTTTAGCTGGAGGGACCAGATCTTCCGTACGGCGGACAAGGCTGCTAGGAGTGTCACTGCTCTTAGTAAGCTTATGGCCAATGTCGGTGGTCCTCGGTCCAGGCGTAGAAGACTATTGATGTCTGCAGTCCAGTCCGTGCTTCTCTACGGCTGTGAGATGTGGGCACAGGCGCTTAACAAGGAGGCGTACAGGTTGAGGCTCGCACGAGTGCAGCGTCAGGTGGCACTCAGGGTCGCTTCTGCGTACCGTACGGTGTCCGAACCGGCCGTTTTGGTGATTGCTGGAGTTATCCCTGTCAAACTCTTGGCAGCGGAGAGGAAGGCAATCTACCAGAGACAAGGCTACATCGGAAAGGACGCTGCAAGAACGGAAGAGCGCTCCCGCACTTTTCAGATGTGGCAAGAAATCTGGGAAAGGGAGACTCGAGAACGTTGGACCGCCAGACTCATCAGACAGGTCCAACCGTGGGTGGAACGGCGGCACGGTGAGGTCGACTACTATCTCACGCAGTTCTTGTCAAGTCACGGCTATTTTCAGTCGTACCTGCACTTAATGGCCAAAAAGAATTCACTTGAAAAAGAACACTTGACACTATCTTCTTATGTTGGTGTCTTGATCTTGATGTCAGAATAACGTAGGCCTACGTCTAAAGTCCATACAGTCCAAATGAGCGCTCACAAGAAGTTCCTACGCGACCGCGGTAGACCGGAATGGGAGGATCCACTGCTAAAACTGACTTTACACTGGTTAATAAAATTAATTTATTTTAAAGAGGTGAAAATGTTATAAGTATGTTATGAGTTATAAAGGGGCCACGGACTAATTCGAGCGTCAATAATAAAGAATTAAACTATGAGAGGGAAAGCCGCAATGGCAGAAAAAATTGATTATGTCAAAGTGACATGTGTTAGGTTAACCCGGAAACCGACAGACTGGGCAAGCGTCCCGATGCTACGCTAAAACTTCGCAAAAATATCCTTCCGCCAAGTTCACCAATGGGCAATGTGCTGACCCCACTAGGTTGAATTGAAAATCCCTACTCTCTCTCTGTTGGCGGCAAATACAAATGCATATATTATATACAGTACAAGAAATAAAAACATTTTCCTGAAAACTTACTTAACAAATGCATTTTCCCACCTCTCCCTAAAATAAACCCCTGTAAACGCGTCAACTTTGTTCACATTAAAACACGTGGTTCTGTTCCATTAAAACCCCACAAAATACATATACTAATTATCAAACCAATCCATTGCTAATATACGGGCTACTAATAAGATTACATACAGCTTTTCCCAAGTCAGCTTAGAACATTTCAAATACAACTTCAACTGTTAACTTGCGCAAAACTATCCATTATTTCATAAATTGCCCTTTAAGGGGAGTCGCTACTGAAACTAGTGATTTTTAATAAAATCCTTTTGAAAATTATCATATATACTTTTTTAAGTTCATTTAGTCTTAGAAAAAGATTTACTGTCGTTAAAGTAAAAAGAAAAATTTTTTTTACAAACTTTTTGGAGTTTTTTAAGTTTTTTGGCGGGAAAAAATGGGGTTTTTTAAATCTCTTATAACTATTTAACTACTGAACCAATTTTATTGTTCGATATCTTATTTTAAAGAGCAAGGAAAGCACATACTTTCTGTGCATACTCATGTTATTTTCTCAATTAGTTTATAAGTTATGGCTTCAAAAATAAGTTTTTGAAAAAATTATAGGTTATAAATTTTTATAATTTTTTTTCATGTACTTTTATTTACCCAATTACAATATCCATGCACAGAAAGTTGATTTATAGTATAAACAATGTGTGGTAAAAATTTCATTCATATAGCTGTAATAGTTAAAAAGTTATAAGAACTTATATATAAAAAAAACAAAATTTTAAAGTCGCGGAAAACAGCGGTTAAAGTTTATACTAGGCCTAGTTGATGACCCCCTTAAAAGAGGTGTGCACGCTTCACTTCAAATATTTTTTTCACAGTGATAAAAATATATATTATACCAAATTTTATGTTTTTCTGAAACCTTACAATCCATAGAACAAGATAAAAAATAATAAAAAAAATCAAGTTTTTTACAAAATTGGTAGTTTTTTAGTAGCGACTCCCCTTAAGGTCGTAATTGAACTAAAAAGGGAACCAAGTCCAAAGGGTCCAAAGGGAACTTTCCATACACCTAATGTTGAAAATAACTCAGCTGTACATATTTGTATGTTATTCATTTAATTTATTACCTTATTAAAATCAGGTGTGATTATTTAGTTTTATTAATACTTAGGAAGTCAAACGGGGTGAAGCCCGTGGGTAACAGCTAGTACAACTTTACTGCCGTTTTATGTTTAGAGATATTCTTTTCTAAGTATGTAAATATACCGATTGAAGTTGTATCCTATATATAATACGAGTAAAGTTTGAATAATTGTCAACTCGATCTGGCAATCGGCCCTAACAAAAACGTTTATATTTACGGAATAACTAAGTTCTGTGTCAAAAATAAGTTCTAGACCAGTGTTATAGCCAGGAAAAATCTATTTTCGCCATAATATGAGAACAAACTTTTGAAAATTTAACATGGGCCTTATGAGAAAACATTCCGTCATTATTGTCATTTTGTTTACATTTTAAGACATAACGTGACGTTCTGTACCCACGGGCACCTCAGCTTGCGAATGCGCAGAAAGCTCTTGAAGCACTTTCCGAGGTCCAGGTGACTGTTACTTCTGAATCTGATGTGGATTCATTGATTGGCTTCTGACATATATTTTGTCAACTTGTGACGGAGAGAAAGAAAACGACTAGACTTTGCTCCAGTTCATTAAATCGTTTGATGTATAAGAATTTGTATTATATTATAAAACTTGAGAGAGTAATGAGTTTCTAATCCATGAAAAAACTATTCTTACATTAGTCTCAGCCTCAGCTTTATTACTGTTTATTTAATACTTTTGCCAATATAAACGAGCGATATATCTTATTTTTTATATTTTTAATGGTTTTAATAATAATTGTCATCACTAAATTACTCTTTTCGTTGGTTGTCGTGTCGTGTCGTTGTCAATAATGTCGTCTGATTCTGACTGATGTTACACTGAATCGGTCATAGGGAAAATAATTAATTGTAACCTAACTTACTACTAGCACTAACTAAGAGTGTTGCAATTAGCAGTGTGGGGTAATTGCACTGGATAATTTAGCCATCTATTTCAGAAAAATTTTAAATAGATCAAACACTAGGATTTGTTATAAAGTTTAAGCCTTGTTGAGATGGATCCTTTCAGGTTATCCTAGCCTGAACAACTGGGTTAGTAACTTAGCTTGACTTGGTTGTTCATCCATGTTTTGTTTATTCACACTAATCAATGGCTACTAGATTAAAAATGCCTTATTCTGCTATGTTTTGATACCAATATCCATAGGCCTTAAGCCCTAATTTTTGTTTTAAGTACTGGCACTGGGTACATCATTAGGTAACTCGGTAAGGTTGCTTTTTATAAATGGATAATTTCATGAACCACTAATACCCTATATCTAGGTGTGTTCAGTACATAATGAAACTCTAAAAAAAGTACTAATCCTAACCCACATAAAATATAGGTAGCTTTAGGCCTACAGAGGATGAGTGTTTATATTACTTCTCTGTGGTGTAAGTTATGTATGCCTTAAGATGGCTATAAGTTTAGGACTAGATATTAAATAAACTCCCAATTAACTTATAACCCTAGCCTATTATTTGTCAGTGTCAATAAAATAGTGCAATTAGGCCTATATCGAGGACAGCCAAACTTGGATATACAACCATGTTTATACCTAAGTTTCCTTTTTGGTGCTCACCAACATGGATCAACCCAGTGTGTAGGGATTTTTCTCCTAAACTGCCTAAAAAGTTTTAAAATGTTTGTGTTGCAGCGTGTCGTGTGTCGACAAATGTTCCAAACGACAAACGTCAAAACTTAAATTTGCTCTGGAAGCTATCTATCCTTAAGCATTATAGCCTATATTATCTGTAGGCATACACAAGAGTGTGATGACTTTAAGTGTCAAGGGTTTTTCTCCTAAACTAGGCTAGGCTACCTACATTTTTGTGTGAAGAGGCCTAAGTAATACAACTAAACCAAGCCAAAACAAAAACTAAATATCCAGGAAATATTTGTCGGTGGAAACCCCAATCAAGGGCTGCAAAAGATTCTTCAAGGTTAAAACTACTCATTATCCAATCCTAAAGTGTCTTTTGTATAGATAAAATAAATACTTAACTCTTGATTTGATGTCAATCAATATTTTCATTAATTATGCCGTATATACCATAACGGTGTTGTTATTGGGACAATTTGTTCTATGAAAGCGTGTAACATAGGTATTTTAAATTAAAGCTTAAATTTATTATTATTTATTCTTTATAATGTTTAGTTTCCCGAGCAAAGCTCGGTCCCCAGGTACTCCTATATAAGCTGAGAAAATTTTACAGTAATAAAAAAATATAAGTTTGTTACAAAAAACTTAAAACGTCCACAAATTTGCATTCCACCTATTCTAAAAGAAGACGGTTCTTGGGCCAAAAACAACATCGAGAAAGCAGATGTCTTTGCTTCATACTTCAAAGAAGTGTTCAAGCTATATAATATAAATTCAAACGTTGAACAAGAAATGTTGGAATTCCTCTATTCTCCAAATCAACTTGATTTACCGATAAAATTGTTTACACCATCTGAAGTAGCTAAAGTAATAAAAGACGATTTAAACGGCAAAAAAGCCCCCGGTTATGATCTGATAACAGATAAAGTGTTGAAAGAGCTGCCTAGAAAAGGAATAGTATTGCTTACAGTACTTTTTTCAATGCAGTTTTACGCCTTGAATACTTCCCAATACAGTAGAAGGTTTCACAAATTGTTGTTATTCCGAAACCTGGTAAACCTTTAAATCAAGCATCCTCGTATCGGCCTATATCCCTTCTTCCCGTGGTTTCTAAAGTTTTTGAAAAACTTTTTTAAAAAGACTCCAAATTATAATTGATGAAAAAGAATTGTTGCCTTCCCATCAGTTTGGATTCCGCCGAAGGCATTCCACCATTGAGCAAGTGCATAGAATAGAGAATGTAATCAAGGAAGATCTTGAAAATAAACGTTTTTGTTCGTCTGCTTTTTTGGACGTAGCCCAGGCGTTTGATAAATTCTGGCACACAGGATTATTGTTAAAAATTATAACTTTGCTGCCCCATACATCGTATGGAGTGTTGAAATCGTATTTGTCCAAACGCTTTTTTCAAATTGAATGTCAAGATGTAGTTACAGATGTGCATGAAATTGAATCAGGTGTACCACAAGGCAGTGTTCTTGGACCTATTTTGTATATTTTGTTCACTTATGACCTTCCAAGTACTCAGCGTATTATGGTTGCAACATTTGCAGACGACACTGCTTTTTATCGTCAAATCAGGATCTTATTCTGGCATCATCAAACCTTCAGGCTGCATTAGACGATTTGTCTCAGTGGCTACAGAATTGGAAAATTAAAGTAAAAGAAACAAAATCCGTTCAAGTTACATTTACTATGTCTACAAGAACTTGCCCCCCAGTAACATTGAATAATGTCATGCTTCCACAATCCAACGAAGTTAAGTACCTTGGTATGCA